AGGTGTTCCTTTGTGAATATAACTACTCCACCAGCTTTAGATGATCTATCCTGCCTAAACACATTATAACCAGCGATGCAGATGTCAGAGTCTGGGATATTCTTCTTCAGCCAAGACTCAGTGATGACAAGTACCTCCGGATTTGAGCTGTGAACGAGTACTTTTATCTGGTAAATGTTTGGCAGTAAGCTTCTAGCATTTACATGTAGAAAACCTAAAGCTTTACGAGAGCAGAAGTCAGGGAAACTCAGATCATTGTGACAAAGATTGACATCAGGGCACAGGTCAGAACTAGGGCTACATACAATAGAAGGTCCAGGATGAACATGCACATTGCCCGATATCATCAGTAGTAATACAATCAGAGCATGGCCAAGAGCTAGCAGTGCCTAGTTTGTTTTGTGCCCACATTGACAGTGGAATGTAGCGTAATCATCTTGTGTAGAGACCTCATAATCACACATGATAGTAGTGGCATGGTGTCAGAGTTTATGTTTGGCGTTAGCCCAAGAGACCTGAATATCAACAACGAGTCATAGTCTCTGCCTACTGTATGGATACAGATAAGGAAAAGCCCCTGCTGCTTACTGAATACTTTAAACACTTGAATACTTTTCATATCACCACTTATCAACAACCTTTGTATGGTTTTTTAAATGTTGTATTTAGTTTCACAACATTTTAAACAATTCCACTTGTCCTGCACTTCAGTTCATGACAGGATACCAGTTAAAGGTAATCATTAAATTCCCTTCAGGCTTGAAGTAAAATGTTATATTGCAGAGCTCCTAGCATGATACCATGTTATTGTTTTGAACGTTAAAGATACAAACCACCAATTATCCACCAAATAAAAAAAGAAGTCCCAGGAATTGCTGTTTCGCCTCTACAGGCAGTTCTGTAATATCCCCTGTAGTAACAAGTTCATTCAACATCTACAGGAAGAGGAATAGATGTCACCATATTTAATGAGATAGTAACTCAGGCGACAACCTTTAAGGATCTTTGCCTCTCTGATTTTTTAGCCTGCATAGCATGAACAAAACATGCTAAACACTCTTACATGTACTTCCAACGTTAGGATGTTATAAAATGTAACAGCATGTAATTTAGCTTTTTGCCCACAAAGTTCAGTAAGTTCTTAAGGATAGCAAAGCAGTTGGGCTTACTAAGTGTTGCTCAAAGACAAGTTCTGGTGGAAAATATGTTAGAAAAGGACTTTGACACTTAGAGTTATTATGACAGAGGCGTTTGTGGTAATCTTTTCAAGATAAAGAAAGAAGTAAGCATTATGTCTTTGTGTTGAAACCAAGAAAGCATATTGCTTGGCCATTGAGTGCACCATCAACTGATCAGCAGATATATTTACGAATACATGACATAAATATAACAATGACAAGTACATGAAAATAAAGATAATAAACCAGGTGAAATACTGATTGAGGGATTTCCTTTTGGTACACTTTCATACTTAAAACACAAGGGGGTGCTACAGTATATTTTATCAGACCAACAACTTGCTTCACTCACACTGACATTTTGAATATGTTCTTTTCAAGTCTGATGTAATGCTACAATGGAAGTTGCCTCAGCACAGGATTATTTCAGTCTCACTTGTTATGATTTACATAGTGCCAAAGACTGGTCAATTATCCAAAGATGAAAGAAGAATACACAAACTGTTCGTATTTGGTTAATCATCATTTACTCTCCTGCCCAGTTTGGCTATGATCAATAAGTGTGTGATCTTTAAATATTATTTGACTTGGCTCAAAATGTAAATGAGGTAATAGACTGATAAAAGTAGAAAGAAACATGTGACTAATATTAGGAAATTCTACTTGTTTTTGTTCCTATTCATTTAAGTACTTCAATTACATTGTATACATTTTAATACCCAAAACAGGTGTATTGCTCATCTGTTTCTATATATTTTGATGCTAATACTTTTGTACTTTTACTTGAGTAAGATTTTGAGTGCAGGACTTTGACTTGTAACAGAGTATTCCTAAACTCTGCAACTTATACTTTTACTCAAGTATAAGATCTGAGTACTTCTTACACCTCTGTAGTTAACTAGCATCAGCAGACTGCCATTACTACAGTAGGTAAATGATGACACATGTGATGAGGTGCAGACATTAATGGACAAAATGGAGGTAAAGTAAAAAATCTGTTCTTTTTCTTTCTACGTTAAGAACACTTAAAGTACACAGTTACAAATATATGACAAACCAACAAAATTGCAAAGTAATCTTTATTTTATAGGTTTAGATTGTTAGTGATGAATAAAGTGTCTGATAGACACCTACCCACGATTTGTGATAGAAAATAGACATGGGTAATAGTGGGTTAATGTTGGTTTATTTTTTAATAAACTGAGCTTTACATTAGATTACACGCTGATGTTTCCCATCGCCGCTCTGTGCTGCTGACGCTCTGGGATCAAGTGTTCATCAACTGTGCTGGTGGGCTAATCCTCCCTCGAGGACATACAGCACAGTTCACTCTACAGTATGTCAAAACCATCCATGACACACACATACACACCAAAGACACACACCAAAAAACACACACACACACACACACACACACACACACACACACACACACACACAACACACACACACACACACACACACACACACACACACACACACACACACACAACACACACACACACACACACACACACACACACACACACACACACACACACACACACACACACACACACACACACACACACACACAGCACACACACACACACACACACACACACACACACACAGCTCTTATGGGTGGTCCTTTCTTTTTTGTGTGAGGGAAAAAATGACTGATGTTCTTGTACTACAATTTGTAAACTACATTTCTAAAGTTCAGAAGCCAATTGAGTTTTTTTACCCTACTACATGTATGTGATTGTAGCAGGATGAGAGTCCTAATCCCTTGTAAAGCATTTTCTCCTCGTTTGGCTCTTGTGAGCATATCACCACCAGGGGGCACCCTATAAAAGGGCAGAGGTTTCTAGCTGGCTGTCTCTTGTTTGTTGGTACACAGACCCGCCCCACTTCCGTGTTTGCCGTGTTTGCTTCCGCCACCGGTGCAGGTATGTTGCATTGCTCGCTTCAGGAAAGGTTCTGCAATTTGCCAGCGTATTTATACTTAGCCCTGCTTTGCCTCACCTAGTGGAGGATCCTCCGGGTGCAGCCTGTCAACGCAGCCATAGAAAGCATGAAGCTCTCCCCTCTCTGCATCATCGATAGGAAAGCCTGATCGGTATGTGCGCTGTACGGCGATCTATTTAGTCAATCCACCTCATTACTTTTATTGATATTAACGCTGTATTTGTATTTATTCATAAACCTAGGGCCAATCCAATGATTAAGGGACATCTGCTGTTTTGCTTCACCGGAGAAAGTGTGTTTATCGTCACAACTGCTGTTGATCCTGCCTAAATGTTGCTTCTGATTGCTGCTTCTGGCCAGCTTTGCGTCGCCTACTGCGGAGGCTCGCTCACCAGTTAAAGTGCTGCTTTTACTGCACGCCTTCCTGCTGCCTTGCTTGGGCCGACAATCGAAGTGTGGAAGTCACTGAACTCTGGGGCTAACTCCCCCCTATAACTTGTCCTTACTTTGGCCAACTTGATTTAAATTAGTTTGTTTATTTTATTCTAGTTAATTGTTTATTTTGTTTAACTGAACCTTTTCTCTTGTGATTTGTTTTATTCTTAAATGTTTACACAAGTTATCTGTTTATGAGAACATATTTGCTATTGTGTTTGTTTATTACTTTAACTACCATTAACTGCGTTTCCCTCTGTTTCCCTACTTATGGCGCGTTTCCACTACAGCGCGGAGCACGGTTTAAGAGGGCTGTGACGTCAGCGGCCCGTTTTTGGTTGCGTTTCCACTTGGCCTAGTACCGGCTAACGCAGGGGTGGGCAATTATTTTTTACAAGGGGCCACTTCAGAAACTCCAGCTGTGTTGGGGGGCCGAATCAAAAATAAGTTGAACTTAATTCTGCTCAACATACCAATACTGAAAAGGTGTTTTACAGTATGTTAAAGATAAGAAATGAATCAGTTTTATACAAAAAGAAATGAGTGCTTTTGATTTTTGTTTTTCAGTTAATTTTACTTGTTCAGTGAGAAAAATCCAGTCTGTCTTGGGCTTGAACAAGTGCACGGAAATCTGGTTCAATGTCTGAGTTGGATATGCGAAGGACAGCTGAGAGGTGATCATCAGTGATAGAGGATCTGTATCTGGATTTGTTGAACTTCATCACTGAGAATGTCTGTTCACATATGTAGGTAGATCCAAAGAGGACCATCATCTTCTGAGCACGTCTCCTGATGTGTGGAAAGTTCTCCTCTTTCAGGTGTGGCAGTAGCCGCAGAGGGGAGGATAGGTGAATGTATTTGTTCAAGTTGGTTTGATTACACCATTCACAATTCCGACAACGCCACCCTGGGAGTTTCACCCAAGGAAATATTAACACTTTTACAGAGGACACATAGGTTCGAATACTAATGGAGCCGGAGACGTGGTTTCAATTTATCAAAAATATACAATTTTATTTAGCACAAGTCAATAGTTTAAAATGCAGTTTAAAACAGTCACACAGGGCTGTAGCACAACGGGAAACAAAATGAATTAGGGGCTGAGGCTTACCAGTGGGGGGGATAGGGTCGACGAGTGAGTGGAAGGATCCCCAAACAAACCAAACTTAAATCACCCCAGTCATACGTGCAGGAAATCAAATCCCGGGGGAGCACATCACACACAAAAGGAGAGAGGAAAACCACCACCTTGGACACCAGCACCACCACCTTCAGCTCTCAGTAACTAAGTAGGGGAACAAAGAGGGAAATGCAGTTAATGGGGGCTAAATAAGTAAATCAAAGTAATAAACAAACACAATAGCAAATATGTTCTCATAAACAGATAACTTGTGTAAACATTTAAGAATAAAACAAATCACAAGATAAAAGGTTCAGTTAAACAAAATAAACAATTAACTAGAATAAAATAAACAAACTAATTTAAATCAAGTTGGCCAAAGTAAGGACAAGTTATAGGGGGGAGTTAGCCCCAGAGTTCAATGACTTCCACACTTCGAGTGTCGGCCCAAGCAAGGCAGCAGGAAGGCGTGCAGTTAAAGTAGCACTTTAACTGGTGAGCGAGCCTCCGCAGTAGGCGACGCAAAGCTGGCCAGAAGCAGCAATCAGAAGCAGCAACACAGTAGCAGCAGCCCAAACATTTAGGCAGGATCAACAGCAGTTGTGCCGATAAATACACTTTATCCGGTGAAGCAAAACAGCAGATGTCCCTTAATCATTGGATTGGCCCTAGGTTTATGAATAAATACAAAGACAGCGTTAATATCAATAAAAGTAATGAGGTGGATTGACTAAATAGATTGCCGTACAGCGCACATACCGATCAGGCTTTCCTATCGATGACGCAGAGAGGAGAGAGCTTCATGCTTTCTATGGCTGCGTTGACAGGCTGCACCCGGAGGATCCACCACTAGGTGAGGCAAAGCAGGGCTAAGTATCAACACGCTGGCAAATTGCAGAACCTTTCCTGAAGCGAGCAATGCAACTGCAACATACCTGCACCGGTGGCGGAAGCAAACACGCAAGTGGGGCGGGTCTGTGTACCAACAAACAAGAGACAGCCAGCTAGAAACCTCTGCCCTTTTATAGGGTGCCCCCTGGTGGTGATATGCTCACAAGAGCCAAAAGAGGAGAATATGTTTTCCAAGGGATTAGGACTCTCATCCTGCTACACAGGGAAGAGTAAAACTCAGGCAGTGAGACTGACCTAAAGTGCTCTGACAGAAGTGTGTCAGACTGCAGGTCAATGAGTTCAAGCTGAACATCACTGGGTGCATCATCCACATGGCATGTAAATGGGGAAAAGATCATGTTCATTTCATTCTCAACTGTTTTGAAGTCTTTAAATCGCCTTGAAAACTCACCATGCAGTGCTTCTAACATGGATGAGTACCTCTGGAGGTGATCAGCTGATGGTGTGGCTTCCTTCAGTGTTGGCAAGTGCGTGAGAATGTTGTCCTCCATTTGGCTTGAGAGAAGCTGCAGCTTTCTCATGAAAGCCTTCACTGCACTGTACATGTCATGCACATAAAGGCCCTTGCCTTGCAGTTTGACATTTAGTTCACTCATTAGTGCAGTCACATCTACAGCAAAACCAAGGTCTGCCATCCAGTCTGCATCTGAAAGCTGTGGGATGTCGTTTCCTTTCTTCACACAGAGGTCTTGAATCTCTTCTCTCAGGTACCATACTCTTTTCAGCACTTTGCCCAGGCTGAGCCACCTGACAGCTGCATGGTAGGGTATGTCACGATGTTCAGTCTCACTTTCCTCCAAAAGTGCAACAAACTGTCTGTGATTCAATGCTCTTGCCCTGATGAAGTTAACTATTTTAGTTACAACATCAACAACATGGTTAATTTTTAACACTGACTTACACAACACTTCCTGATGTATAATACAATGCAAAAATACCTATTTCTGCTCAGGGTTAATTTCTGTCACTTTATCCTGCATTCTCTTCAATAGTCCAACATTTTTCCCTGTCAGATTTGGACAACCATCCGTTGTCACGCCTGCCAGCTTGTCCCATTTCAGTCCCAACTTTTCCACACATGCATTTACCTCCGTGAACAAATCACTCCCTGTTGTTGTACCTTTCATTGACTGCATGGCTGCCAGCTCCTCCGTGATTTTGAAGTCTGTAGTTATCCCACGTAGGAAGATGAGTAGCTGGGCAGTGTCACGTACATCGCAGCTCTCATCCAAAGCCAAGGAAAAAAAGTCAAAGTTGACCGCTCTGTTCTGCAGCTGAAGCTCCAGATTTCCCGCGATGTCCTCAATTCTCCTCGTAACAGTGCGTCGGGAGAGCGGCACTTTCTCAAATGCCTCCTTTTTCTCCGGGCATATTAGTGTCCAACAAACACTCCTTAATGAACTCTTCGTCCGAAAACGGTTAACTTTTAAGACATAACTCGTCTTGACAGCTGCATCTCTGGATGTGGAATGTTTTGTGAAAATGTGTTGTTGGCTTTGCAGCTTAGCTAGCAAAGCATCCGACCCCTTTGCCCGCTCTTCCTCAGACAGGTTCTTGTATTTATCTGCGTGTTTGGTAGCATAGTGGCGACTCAAATTGTACTCCTTGAACACAGCGACCTGCGCACCACAAACTAAACACACAGCTTTACCTTTCACTTCTGTAAATAAATACTTAGCGGTCCATGTCTTGTTGAAAATGCGGCATTCAGTATCGATCTTTCTTTTTTTGCCCTTAGCGGACATTTCGAGGACTAGCCGGCCAGCATCACTCGTAGCTGTTACGGCATGCGTGTTTACGTAAATAAATTAAAAAAACAGCAGCTTCCTTTATTTTGAAAAGGTTGCTGTTTTTTTTCATTATGTTATAATTTATGATCAACCTCACACGGGCCGGCCAAGGCCGGCCAACGGGCCGGATGTGGCCCGCGGGCCGTAAAATGCCCACCCCTGGGCTAACTGGTCCTAATTCACAGTTTTTCTGGCCTCATAAAAGTTTAAATAATTTGACAAACACATGTATGTGAAAAAAAAAAGATTTATTTATGTTCAATACCATACAATGAATATTTAGGTATTACATTATACATTCTAGGTATTCAGGTAGCGCATCAGACCCTCTCGTATGTCCCTGCCCTCCTCTGCACCTTGTGCCACTGCTACCCCTGGCTCTGCTGCTGCTGGTGCATCCCACCCATCATCATAGGTCTCTCCATGACTCTCGCAGAGGTTATGCAGAGCACAGCATGTCAGCACCATTGATTTCACAAGTTTCACATCACAGTCATTTCTTTTCATGAGGCAACGCCACCTTCCCTTCAGTCTACCAAAAGCGTTTTCTACCACTACCCGTGCTCTGCAAATCTTCTTGTTGTATGTCACATGTTCTTCTGTTAGCCGTCCAGTGTCAGGGAAGGGTTTTAAGAGCCAGTTTTGCAAGGGATAGGCATTGTCTCCCAGGATGTAATAGCCAGCATTAGTAGTTATATTCATCCCGCTTTCGTCTCATTAGTATGCATAAAAAAGTGACAGGTCACACCTACTACTACTTATGCTAATGACCTCCTTTGTTCGAGGTGTTATAACATGCCGGTGCGATATCACACCTGCCTGTTATATCCTTATCACGTACAGGTGCGATATCCCCCCTGTCTCCCCCCTGTCTAGCGCTGCCCCCCTCCCCCCTCCACACCCCCCTCCTTCTCCCCCCTCCTGTCCGGTCAACATGTCCGTTTCAAAATTAGAAAAGTGCCGGTCAAAGGTCTTCTATGTTATTTATTGAGCTTTGAAACAAATTGATATGATTCGATATTAAACAAACTAATTATAGTAGATTAATTAACTATTCAAACAGTGTACAGTAATTTACAATAACACGGGAATAATAAACGGAGCGCTCTCCCCCTCTCCTGACAACACGCCAGTATCATGCAGCTCGCGGATCCAATAATGAGTGACCCGACAGTAAAACTAAACATATCTATAACTAGTTTAGGTAGTTTGAGAGGTAATTAAAATAGCTACGTGTGATATTCTAACCTGAAGTGTGTGTTTTGTTCCGCTCACCGCATGCAGAGATGCGTGTCGACTCGTCAGCAGCAGCTGGTCTCTCCCGTCAGATTAGACTTTACTCGCGTTTATGTCCATATCGATCAGATCTAGCTAGTTCTAGCTAATGATATGACTACCTGCTTATTAAAAGACACCTAAACAATAAGCGTCGCTATGCAACGGGGTGAGGCCACAAAGTATAGCGCAGCATTATGCATTTGTTTACATGCCCACCGGAACCCCGAGACATTACCAACAGATCAACGCGCAATCAACCCATACAGGACATCTCTTTCTCCACATTATGTGTAGACATTATAATTGACTATTCTTGTCTGTCACATACTCTTTTGTCTGTCACATACTATTCTTGTCTGTCACATAAGTGGCGCAACTGATGCGGTATTGCGCTAAGGGGATATAATTTTGACCGGACATTTTGACCGGAGAGATTTAGATTTGCCGGTCTTCAGCATATTTTACCGGTCATAGTCCGGTAATTACCGGCTAACGGGAACTCTGGGGTGGAGACAATGAGGCTTGATTTGGATCTGATCTGGAAAAACTCTGGTAAGTACTTTTATCATTATAATATCATGTCATTATTTAATGTTGTTGTTTTGTGTGTGTGTGTACAACGAAGTCTCTTTGAGAGGAAAATTATAATTTAAAGATCTTAATACCCCCTTATTGTTTAATTACTTCACACAACTATTAAATAATCCCTATATGAAGTTACATGAGGCTACATTTACTGGTGTGCTTCCCTAGATGATGTAAATAGTCTAAGTGTCATGTTAGGGGGACATTACGGAACTCAGGAGTCCGCCCTTGGAGGCTTGGAGAGCGGATAAAGAGAGGTGTATTTACTGGTGTTGAGCCCTGGATGATGTAAATAGTCCAAGTGCCATGGTAGGGGGACATTACGGAACTCAGGAGTCCGCCCTTTGAGGCGTTGTTAACATTAATGCTTTTTGCTTTTGTTTTTGTTACTAAGATACTTTTTAGATACACTTTTGAAGTGAGCAACACTTTACAACTGGTAGAAAGTTAAGTACTTTGTATGGAATTGGGTTTTCTTTAGAGCTGTTTTCAGTGAGACAATGCAGTTTCTGATCATTTTATGTTTCAAGTTTCAAGGCTTTATGGCATATGCCCATTAGCTACAGTGTAGATATGTCAATGAAAAACATAGGTCACAGGCTCCTCCAACAGTGCAACAAATATATATATACATATAGAGCACATAAAACAGATAAGATACTGCAATAGAATGTTTTGATATGACAGATTTGTGCGTAATTCTCTCACAAAGGAACTGTAAGATACACGTTTATGTATGGAAAACTTTATAACTTGGTAAAATATTCATTCATTTGTAATGAATTACTTGACTAACATTACTTTTTTTAAATATATGTTTTTAGATGCTTTACTTTGATTTCTTTCATGTTATTTTAACACAACATTACTTTTTCATATTTTTCAACATACTGTGATTTTTGTTTTTTCTCTCCTTTTTCCATTATATTTTTGAATATACAGTGATTTTTATCAAAATACAACATGCGACTAATACATTATACAATATTACGACTTTTTGCGATATTTTCAACACAATATACTTGTACCTTTTTTTTTTTTTTGTAGGGCTTCAGGATATTTGGCATGTCATGCATAAAACCGGTGTCATTTTTCCTGAAACTGACGTGCTGTCCGTTTTACAAACAAGTTATCTTTCTGCTTCTTCACCCTCTGAATTTTCCTCCCCCGTCCCTCTTCCTTCAGCCATCACAACAACAATCAAGTCAGATCTGTGAAATTAAACACCTCTTCCCAAAGCGTGACTTCCCTATTGAGGGAGTGGGGCAGTAGGGCCTAACCCGATTGGCCTAATATACTAACATGCAGAACGTATGGTATGTTTGAAAAAAGACCAACCATCTATCCAGTTCAAGCTGTCTTTAAGATGTGACATTGCACTCTGACTTTTTCCCGTAAAATCGTGACAAACTATTACTTATTATTAAATTTGACCTCATGCTGCTTGGTTGAAAATGATAGATGAAAAATAACTTTTTAAAAAGAGTCAAACAGCGAGGGACATTATACGGGTGAAAGAAACTCTCATTTCTACAGATGACTCCCCCCACTCAACGCAATAAGTCCCACCCCACTCAGCAAATCATCCAAAACTAAGGACCCCACTAAGACGACCGTTGAAAACTAGCCATGGATCTGAGAAAAACCAAGTCTGATGTAGCCTACCCTTATTATCACCAGGATAACGGATATGGGCTTAATGACTGGATGTTACAAAGTAAGGGAGAGGATGTTCCCGAAGAAGAGCTTTCCTCTATATCATATCCATGTAAGGTCTTTAGGACAAAAGAGGACTATGATAAAATGACATATGAAGAATATCTTTCTTTAAAAGATGGTATTATAGATAACCTTTATAGAAACAATATATCTCATACAACTCACCAAGATCGCAAACGACAATTAGCAGAAAAGAAAAGCAAAAGTAAAGAAAACCGAAGAAAAAGAAAAAGCAAAATGAAAAGGAGAAGAAAAATGAAAAGCAAATGCAGAATGCGAATGAAAAGAAAAGGGACAATAGGACGGAAAAAGACAAAAAGAAGGAAGGTGAAAAGAAAAAGGAACAAAGTGAAGAAATTTCAACTAACTATAGAGGATGCTGATAGTGTTGTAGAACCATTACCGGATCATAATAATCTTATAGATCATCTACCGCTAACCGACTGCTGCGAATGTGTTGAACAAATACCAAAAGCAATGGCAGAGCTTTGCTTCAATATAATGAGCGAAAAAGCACGATACTATGGAATTGCCCAAATTGGCGACAGTGCCAGAACATGTATTAAAAGACTGTTGGAGGATCTCTATTCTAGTATCGGTTGTCATTACAGCGAAGGATATGCCAAAACGTGTGACGACATAGACAAAGCTTTTGAAGACAATTATATGGTACCCGTCCTTACAGCTAAACAAATCCTATGCCAGGTATTCAACAGACCACAAGAAGCACAAGAAGCCCCAGAAAGGATTACATTCAGAGCTAATAATGGTGAAACCGAAGAAGAAGCAAAGCAGATTATAATCGTTGCGGGTGAAAGGATAGAGAATTTGCAAGTGATGTTAATGCACTTATCTGATATAAAAAATGCATTCATTTACTTCCAAGAGACCCCTAAACATCTACTTGGGCAATGTGAATTGAACGATAAACCGATCACTGTAAATGAAACGCGGAGAGAAGCAGCAGTGCAAATCGTTAAGTCTATTACCTTGTATGCACTACGACATTAACTTGGTCAAATGTAATATGTCTTTCTGAAAATGTGGCGAATGGTGTGTTTTTCAATGAAACAACCATAACAAATGAAAATGTGTTTTATTTTTGCTTTCATATATAGTAATAGTATTAACTCCTCTGACTAGACTGTACTAAAATAAGACGTTTCACTGTTAAATAAAAATGGAAGTAGAAAATCGAGATAATGATGAGGTTCGTTATGTATCCAGTAACTATGAACAGCAGTTTGAAAACGTTATTTAACCCTTTAACTCTAATTGACAAATCTAAAATAGCCTCTAGCTTATCTATACATTTGTGATTTTAACACTTATTCACTGACACAAGGCAGATTATGGCTTTTTTCTCTTGCCAAGATACTTTTAGACACACTTTGAGGTATGCAACACTTAACAAAAGGGTATAATATGAAGTACTTTGTAAGGAATGGGGTTTTCTTTAATACCCCATTTTTTTATTTTTAAAAACACTTGTACAGTTAAATAATGTAGGTTTTCTCTGATATTTTAGTTATTTTCAGCTACCAAGATACTTTTTTGATACACTTTTATGTAGGAACATTTGGCAACTGGTAGAATGTCAATTACTTTGTAACAAATGTATTTTCTTAAAGACTGTGACTCTAAAAGGGAAGTTGGTGATTTTAACACTTTTATTTTTTTTCTCCCGTTGTCTTTCACTTACTTTTTGGATACAGTTTTATGTATGACAACTTTACAACTGGTAGAAAGTTAAGTACTTTTTCTGAACAGATTTTCTTTAAGACTGTGACTCTTAAAGGCAAGACAATCCAGTTTTATGGAAGTAACTTAAATTATTTTTGTTTTTTCTCCTACAAAGATACTTATAGTTACACTTTAATGGATGCAAAACTTTATAACTTGGTAAAATATTCATTATTTTGTAATGAATTGAGTTTTCTTTTTTGTTTTTGTTTTTCAACATACTACTGTACACAATGACTTTTCCATATATATATATATATATATTTTTTCTGACAAACTATACTTTGACTTTTTCCGTAAAATCGTGACAAACTATTACTTATGCTTAAATTTGACCTCTTGCTGCTTGGTTGGAAATGATAGATGAAAAAGCTACGAAGCTTAAAGAACTTTTCTAAAAACTCTCAATTCTACAGATGACTCCCCCCACTCAACGCAATAAGTCCACCCCCCACTCAGCAAATCATCTAAAATGAAGGACCCCACTAAGACGACCGTTGAAAACTAACTAGGGATCTGAGAAAAACCAAGTCTCCCCCCGCAAGTTGCAGCCAGGAACAAACTCCTGGACTACTATCGTCACCACCATTGTGGACACCCAAATCTTGCAGTACTACTGCTGCTGATATTACTCCTTGGGCCAAGACGTCTCTGTTTTTGAACATAGTGAAATCGGAGTTGGTTGATATTCTGGAGAGGGTGCTGCATCGGTACAGAGAAGAAATCTGCAATGGATGCCGAGTCAGTCACCCCGGCCAGAGGCAACACGATTGTCTGAATGACATTCCAGAATATTTCTTCAGAAACAATTACAACGCGTTAATGAAAAGACTTTGGCTCGCCGACTTCATTACTGTGATTGACCAGAGTCTTAATGATAAAAACATTTACACGGCTGAATGGAGGATCCAAGGCGCTTCGGAGGCTTTTCTGCACAATCTCAAAAACTGCAGACGCCTCAAGGAGAGACTTGAAAAGATCCATGCCGAGCTGGATGGAGAGGAAGAAGACTAATAACCAGCGGTTGATTGAAGCCAGGGATTTTTTTGTTCGATACTTTGACTTTTCTTTAAAGTAAAATAAAAATGGGTAACTACTATGGAAAACAATCTGCATATATCTATCAGAATGCAGTCAATACCTGTTTAATAAGTGTGTTGTTGATGACGATTGAAAACAGAATGAATAGTGATCCCCGTGTAAACAGAACGGCTGAAGTTTGTAAACTAGAAGACATTTTGGATATCGTTCATTCTGGCAGTACTATTCCGGGTCATTGGAATGCACTACCATTCTCTTGAATGCCTTAACAATCACATACTGATGTTCTGGATTAGATTTTTAACTGAGTTTGATGAAGCTACAGTATCTGTGTTTTTCCACAGATGGCTTTGGTCGTCATCAGTAGAAAACACCTTTTGATTTGGTTACAAAGACCTGCAGTACATTTCCCCCAATGTCCCTCCCTCCCTCCCCCACTCTCAGCTTAGTGTCCCTCTCTCTTCCTGTCTCCTCTGATTGGTCAGTTTGGTGTCAGTGGTAGCATCCTGGAGGTATAAAGCCACTGCTGGGGGTGGAGACAGCAGCTGTCTGCCGTCTCATATTGAAAACTCTGCTGCTTGAATTCACACCGGCTGTGCTGTCGTCATTCAAAACAACAGAGCTCACTTTGGATCAGTAACATTCCAACATGTGTAGAGGACTTGCTACGCTTCCTGCAACATGCTTAAAAAGGTAAGACAAATAAAGTCTAAGCAACAGGTGGATAGGAGTGTTAGTATATTTTTTGTGATATAGGAACTTCATACACTGTATATTCTATATTTTTGGTATTTTATATAAAATGTCATTTTAGCCGAGTAATTAAAACAATAGTTCAATATAAAATTAAACCTGTTGCTTATTATTTGTTTACATAAAGCAGATACTATATGCAGATGTGTATTTATGCAAATAAATGGAAATCTTCTCAAATGCATTTCACTCACTTTCCTCTCGTCCATCTCCCCACAGACATCAAACATAAAATATCCTTCCAGAAGCCGGAGCACCACACGTCTCATCAGAGTCAGATAAAAGAGAAAAATGATGCTGCTGCTGCTCAGAGGTCAGAGGGACTTTCTCTTTGTTCAAATCGTGAAGCTTTTAAAATATATGTTTGTTTTTGTAATCTTCACATCTCACATCAAACTGCTCATCCAGGAGTGTGTATTTTCTTATGAATACTAACACAGGGATTATAACTGAAGCAGACAATGCTTGATTAAATCTTGAGAGAAGAATATTATTTTGTTATAAAGTGCTCATGGACTGCATTTCTACTTAGAAGCACTAGACAGGGAAATACTCGATGAAGGGTACAATAAATCAATAAAGTACTATCTATCTATCTATCTATCTATCTATCTATCTATAGGAGGATTCATGTCCTCGGTTATAGAAGGATAATACTGCTTTATGACATATGTGTTCGATTTATTCTAGGATCACCGTGGGACTTAATATTGTGAGTTTCAGGGCAATTTTATAGACCTGAAAACTGTATCCACCTTGATTATTAAGAAGAGTAAAAGATGTTGACTACACGTGAGCTTTCATTGACCAGGTGAAAAAGGGAAATTGAGAACAGGCACTTGTTTTGTGTTGAGCCCCTCCTTCCTCTTTTCATATGTGTAATTCCAAAGCTGGTCTTTGTTACCATGGGCAGCATTTATAAGGGTTAATATTACTTTGTTTATGTGTTTGCATTTTGAAATGCATTTACATTACTTTGGAGAAAACATGTTTTTTCTTTTTTCTTAATCCCGCCTATGGCCTTTTTCTATCGCTTCTCCATCAGGAAGCCTCCTACCGTCCTTTATGAGCGACACACAAACCCTGACCTTTTTTTTCAGCAACATGTAACCCTTTCAGCGACAGCTCTGGAAGAAAAATATTGATTATCCATAATAACATAACACTAGTTTCATTCCCAACACAAGCAGTATTCAAGTGGTGTATAACAATAAAGATAACAGTTTTCAAATCAGGGATAGCTGGTGTGATTACATGTTCTGCTGTTATTGATCAGTTTATTGATGCAGTAGGAAGACCTTCCTCCAAAGCTGCCTTACTGTAAAGAAGATTATTATGGCTAGCATTAGAGAAAATACATTTGAATTATGTTTATGTGCTACAATCTGAACCCATTAAAAATGTGGCATTTATACTTCAAATTCAGCTACATTCTCGAAATAAGAAATTAGAAATTTAAATATTTGTTATAGTTTTATTGAGTGTCACAGGGGTGATTCATTTTTGTAGGCTAACAAGTCAGCATTGCAATGGTCAATGCTTGATGACGTTTAGTTTTAAACGTCATATGTAACAACTGCTGTTTAAAGACAACATATTATATATGCATGGGGTATTTCATGAAGTATTTTAGGTGGAAACAACCTTCTAGGTTATCTTTGGCTTTTGGCTACAACTGCCATATTTCGACCATCTAACCATAACTGATGAAACTAAACAAATGAGGGAACCGAAGAGATCAAGGCTAACTCATTTGCCTGTTTCAGGACTCATTCCTGCACCACTATATTGTATACTCTTTTATATAATTGTTATGGACATACTTCTGATACAACATTTTGCATTCAGTTTTTTGTATTTGTTTGAGTTGAATGACAGGAATCCAGTAGGATGGTTTCTTAACCTTTTCAAACAGTGCTCTAAGTACATTATTAAAACGTATTTATGTCCACAATAGATATGGTTTAATGTAAAATTCAGACCCTGAACACAATCTGTGTAATTTACTTTCGTCTTTTTTTTTACAGTGAAATTGCTACATTCATATCGCAGGTTGAATTTAAAAACACTCAAAAAGTATTTGCAACCTTTTTAAATAAAACCCTCCATCTGTGTTTTAGTGGGCCAACTGCAGCTGAGGTGAAGAAATGGAAGGAGTCTTTCAACCATGTGATTACCAGTGAGAGTAAGTATAACACTGTTGCTTCATGCCTTTTTAACCTGAAGTAGAACCTAAAACTTCCTGACTAGGTTATGTCCAAAGCAAACCCAAAGAACTTCCGCCCTCCTTGCTCATCGTCTGTCACCAACAATACGGACAATTACTGCCATGCGGATGCTTGACTCATTGGTTTTACCAGCAGTATCTCTCTAAGGGCTTACAAAAAAAAACTTAAAACCTAAACACTATCATTCTCGTGTGACATGATTGTGCTTTTATCCTGGGGAAATGATCAGGCAAGTCCTTCGAATTCCTTGCCAATGGCTGCTAGTAAAGTTTTGGCAGGTCAAAAGGGATCGCTTTCTTGACTCTTTGTATGGCATAAATTGGAAATGAAATACATTTAGTAAAGCAAATATGTTGGTTTGGCAGCGTTTATTAGGTAGCAACAGATCATGATGATAATCGAAATTGAAGGAGACTTGGCTAGGTCACACAAACATGGGAATTGAACCGACTTATGCACAGACGCAAACAGGCGCTCTCCAACGCATTCTCATGCTCTGCTCCTCTGCTAGGTGTCTCTAGGCACAACTCAACGGCCCCTCAGGGCATGCTGACCAGTGCAAAGTGTACAAGTGTTTGTGTGTGTATTGTGTACACTGTGTGAGTATGCAAACACAAAAAGGGAGCAATGGCCTTCCGAGAACCCGCTGGGTTCTGACCTGCTCCGTTCCATGACCTCATCCACTGACCTCCCAACGTCGTCATGTCCTCCTTCTGCTTTTATTGGTTCTATTTTGGTTCCGTTTATCCTGGCCTCAATGGTCTCCGTGCTGTCATCGTAGTCATGTTCAATCAGGAGAGACGTTGATGTATAGAATACATATTTATTACCGGGACACATAATATGATGATTGGCACAATTATAACAGGAGAATGAAATGGTGTTTGGCGATTAGGCCCCAGTTTGCAGGATAATCATTCAGGAGGGGGAAGAACAGCTCCGATGAAACCCCCCGGGGTCTAGACACTGGTGGTGGTGATAAGTAGGTGGGAACGGACTGAAGGGAGAAGGTTAGCTTGGTCCTGAAGGAGACAGGAGGCGAAAGGGGTGGAGGAGGGTTGCGTTTTGTCACCTGAAATGACAGCTGACAGAGGGAAGAGCAGATATAAAGGGATTAGCGGGAGCTATGATAGGCTTGTGAGAATGGAGAGAGGAGAGATTGGTTAGCTGGGAGTGACGCCCCCGATCACTTAATGAGGGAGGAGAGTGTAATGAAGTGACGTGTAATCTGAATGAAGAGCTTGGTCTTCCTGATTGAACTTGCGCTGAGCTTCATTTCAATCAGGAGAGACGTTGATGTATGGAATACATATTTATTACCGGGACACATAATATGATGTAATAATGATTGCCACAATTATAACAGGAGAATGAAATGGAGTTTGGCGATTAGGCCCCAGTTTGCAGGATAATCATTCAGGAGGGGGAAGAACCGCTCCGATGAAACCCCCAAAAGAAGTGAAGTATGATATACTGAGATGAAATGAGTTTCTTACCTTGTGGGCTGACTGCAGTGATCTATGGAGGAAATGAGAGATTAACACATGATCGCACAGTTTGCCGGAATCAACAGCCGGGCTTACGGGTCCACCCGGAGACGCTGACTGCCGAAATCAGTGCCGCGCTTATATGAAAACAACCCGACGGCCCCTACGCAGGGCTTGACTATGCCGACACGATGGTCGGACGGCCTGACGATGCAGGGATCTTTATTACGGAGACACGGAGGTCTACACGGACACGAAGTCCACTCTTTCTTCAAAAGGACGGCCGGAATCAGTGCCAGGCTTACGTGAACGCTACCACTAAACAGACGGCCGGAATCAGTGCCGGGCTTACGTGAACGCTACCACTAAACAGACGGCCGGAATCAGTGCCGGGCTTACGTGAACGCTACCACTAAACAGACGGCCGGAATCAGTGCCGGGCTTACGTGAACGCTACCACTAAACAGACGGCCGGAATCACTGCCGGGCTTACTGTACATCATAAGATGCTGACCCGAAGGTCGACAGCCGAAATCACTGCCGAGCTTACGTGAACACTACCACTAAACAGACGGCCGGAATCACTGCCGGGCTTACGTGAGCACTACCACTAAACAGACGGCCATAAACGCAGGGTTAGACATTAACACGATGAACACTACCACTAATATGCATACATACCAGAGCTTTGGATAGCCAGCACGGCACTTGTATCCGGCGCATGTAGGCTGTGAAGCAGAGGAGGACCACCGTCCGAGTTGTTGCAGGGATGAGGAAGAAATACCTTGATAAGCAGCAGAGTTGGCTGCACCTATCCTGACAAAAGCCCTGAAATGCTATTAAGACACCACCACCAGTTATATGCATATATACCATAGGTAAGCTGAAGAGATTGGATTGCCAGCACGCCGATGTCCGGCGAAAAGGGAGATGTGGACAATGTAATGCTGTGAGCTGTTAGCTTAAGTACAGTGATGCATGAATATCATAACCTGGCTTATCACAAGCCGTGTGAGCATGAAACCGAAATGTAGATGAAGTGCAATATGCGCAGCATGAAGTGATATACGCTGAGGTAAATACTGAACCATGACCCAGATATAGGACTACTTAATTAGCAGTTAATTACGCCGAGATGAGACATAGATGCTGATAGCTTGATTGAGTGATTAAGACTGTCTTCTATCGTCTTACATGAGCTTCTCTGATCTCGTGCAGGGAAGAGTCGCTACTGTAGTGAGTGGGCTCGAGACTGCGACTCGCTTACCCTGCGAGATTCCCCCCAAAACGAAGCATGTGCGGTGCACGTCTTTAACCTGTTACGCACCATCCGCCCGGTACCGGTAAGAATAGAAAACGGATCTCCCGTATTTAAGATGAAGATCACCGATAATGGCCATATAAGCATCTAATTCTATTCTTCTATCGGGGTAAACAGAGCAGAGAACGTCACGGAAGATGCCGAAAGCTACCAGAAATTGCCCTATGCTGAGGTCTTTGAGGAGCCGGGGGTCTGCAGACTTAAAGACGGCAGTGATGTTTCCTCCCGTGGCAATGGATTTATCACACTCCGGGGAAGGCAGAATGAGGCTGACGAGATGAATGTCCTTCCCTTCGAGAATTTTTAATCTGAGCCGTGAGGAAATGTTAGCGGCTTGGGAAATGTAAGGCCTACCTGAAGGAGGAGCTGAAGGGCAGAAGCCAGGGAATGAGAGGGAGCTACAACTTGTGGATGTGGAAAAAACCTGACCCGGCATAAAACCCGGCGGCACGGAGGCAGGAAGCACTGCCCTAATCGCAGCTGAAGTTGAAGCTCCGGCAGAGATGTTTTCCATGGACTGAAGGCGAGCGTCGATTAATAGCATGGAGCTAGCCAGGGATTGCAGGGAGCTGGCTAAGCTATCATCCATGAGGGGCTGATTAGCGGTGCTCCCGGGCTGGCGAGCCTGGGAAGGGGTTGATTTTTTGGACGGGCGGGCTCTTGGAGGGCTTGACTTCCTTGTCCTTTTACCTCGCCCTGGTCTTTCGGGAGAGCTGACTGAAACTGCTGGCACGGTCTGGGGGACCGCGCCGGAGACTTGGTCCGAAAGCTCGCGAAGCTGGGAGAGAGGGAGGCCTGGGGCTGAGGAAATGCCCTGCTGCAGGAGACGAGCGATGAGGAAGTCTGCCTCGGCTGTACATCAGCCTCTGCGGGAAGCCACGAGCGCTCAGGCGCCGTTGGCTCGAGGAAATGGAAACTACCTCGAGCGGTACATCGGAGCCAGGATCGAGAACCTCCGAAAATGGTTCTTGAACGGAATCATCCGAATTAGACATCTCAAGGTTATTCTTTCTTTAACACTAGAACCGCCAGAGGTTTTTGTATACCTAAAACCGCCACCTGGGTCAAATTGACCCGCTATTAGAATGCATTGATTTTCAAGATAAAATGTTCTTTTATTGAACACACAGGGATGAAACGTATACCAATAGAATCTGTGGACTCTCAGCTTTTCATATGACAGGGCTCGACATTATAAATGGCCCGCTGGCCCGGAAGCATTATTTAGACACCTCGGCCAGCATAACGTACTTTCAACTCGCCCCACAGCTGTTTGCTGCGGAGCGCAGCGCGAGCAGTCTCCCGTGAGCAGGAGCGCACTCCTTCACTACAGACTGTCTCTATCTCTCTCTCTATCTATAACTATCTATCAATATATCTATCCATCTATCTCTCTCTCTCTCAATCTATCTCTCAATCTATAAGGAACCGCAGTAGACAAAAGGCGTTGCTATAGCAACACGTCATGTTTATATGAAAAGGGGTGGGGTCAATATGACCTGCTGGGCGGAAATAGGTATAAATGGCAATTCTTTTGGCGATTTCTTCAATCTGACTTCATATTGACCATTTTTAACAACATAGGGTGCTACATAACACACTTTCAGGAAAAGTCACGGACTGGGAGACTTTAATATTTTATTGAAAAAAAGTTACATACAATAAAAAACAGCTTTGATTGGCGGTTCTAGTGTTAAGGTGTTTTTACGAGGAGTAGTATAGTTTGTACTACCATTGCGTTTTGTCACCTGAAATGACAGCTGACAGAGGGAAGAGCAGATATAAAGGGATTAGCGGGAGCTATGATAGGCTTGTGAGAATGGAGAGAGGAGAGATTGGTTAGCTGGGAGTGACGCCCCCGATCACTTAATGAGGGAGGAGAGTGTAATGAAGTGACGTGTAATCTGAATGAAGAGCTTGGTCTTCCTGATTGAACTTGCGCTGAGCTTCATTAGGATTTCTGAAGCAGTAGAGCTGCTGAGGGTTTGAGGTTTTGCCTTCCATTGATTATTGGAAAACACTTGTCTTGTGCATCTTAAAAGAAAGGATGCAATTATTGCCGCCAGGACTTAATGATCTTTCGGTGAGATGTTGTAACTCAGTATAATTACGCTGCTGTCACGTAAAGTGCTTATTTTCTCTTGATGAGGAAGATGAACAAGTTTTAAGTGACTGTTTCAGCCATTGCTCAATTATATAAATGTTCTATTGCCATAAGGTTCCACTCAGTTAGCAAGGGGAGACAATCTTCCTATTTGATTTCACGCACCTCACAAGCAATTTGGAGACAATTTAAACTAATAAATAGCTTTCGGATTGGGAAACGGAAGATAGAAGCATTTTGGCAAATATTGGCACCTTAAATTGTACCACTGATTCTGATTCTGCTGCATCGTTCAACACAAATATGGGCATTTACCATTTAGATAATTTGAATATCCATATGTCAAGGCTGTATTTTCTTTTTAGTTAAAAGGTTCTTCAATATATAACATACCCTCTGTTAGAGCCATTTTCCTTGAGTTATTATTGTCTGATAGTTAGGCTTGATAATAATATCAATTAGATTAAACTCACCATCTAAAGGTATTTTTGTGAGTCATACTATGGTTTAAAACAGCGGTTTTCAAAGTGTGAGGCGCGCCTCCCCTGGGGGTCGCCAGAGAGCTTCAGGGGAGGCGCAGCGTGAGAAAAAAAATAACGAGAAAAGATGAGAAAAGTGACACTTGCCCACTTTTGGCTGTCTGTGGAGACCGAGTTCCCCCACTTCGCCAAAAAGGCTGTAAAAGTGCTCATTCCCTTCATCTCCACCTACCTGTGTGAGTGCGGGTTTTCCGCATGGACTTTGATCAAAATCAAGTGCAGAGTATGATCTGCGTTTATTCCTGTGTGCATCAAAGACGCAGACTCATTGTTCCCACTAAAGTAGGGATGAGTGTAATAAGGAGGCAAAATTGACGTTCAGTGTGTTGCCGGGAACATATAAGGATTTATCCACGATGTTGAAAATGTTAAAAATGTTTTAAAAATATGTGTTGAGAACACGGCGTGCGAAAATATACGGGTCGTGCTGCAGCTAGATTTGCCTGTCCTCTGTAAGAAGGTGTCGGCGACTGACATGCAAGGAAGAACGGCTGTCCACAGGCTGTTCCAACTTTAACAACTTTATTAACTTCCAGGGTAGTGAATTGAACATGCTATTGTAATTGGGTGTGTGGTATATTTTCGTGCACGGACACGCATGTTCCACAACACACAAACTGAACAACACTCAATTGTCCGATCGCTACCAGTGTCCTTGCGATCTTGTTATAACGATAACAACAAAGTGCACGTTATTACTGATGCAATATGGTTGAGACCATTTGGGCTTATTCTAGAGGGGTGCAAGGAATAGTCCAAGTAGTGGGGGAGTTGTATACAATATGTTTAAAACATAAAGATAAAAAGGTTTAAAAAAGTTATTGTTTAATGTTTTAAGGAGGTGACGCTACTCAGCCAATCAAATCGGTGCAGTCAGTGAGCCAGCACGATAGATTCAAACACACACACAGAGACGAGACAAGAGGAGAGAAACAGTCTTCATTTTATCTTACTGGACCTCTTTGAAATGCAATTGAATACCCCTGCATTATAGCAACAACAACAATGATAATAATAATAATAGCAATAATAATTGGGAGGGGGGGGGGGCGCGGTTGTTCTTATGTTCTCTGAGGGGAGGCTCACCTTCCCACACTTTGAAAACCCCTGGTTTAAAATGTATTAATTTAAGGCTCACTTATTATTTGTTATGTGCGTCAGTATCACATGCATGGCTATATGCCTATATATGGTAGGTTGATAGGACACAGCTGATGGTGATGAGACGGGGAAACGGAAAAGTCTTTTGACCGTGTTCTTTTTGTTCTTTTGGAGACTATTAACTTTGATTTAAGATGAAGCGAAGAAATGTGTGGACTAACGAATAAAGCTCATCTGACTCAACCATGTTCTCAGCTCATTTGTTTGGAAACAAAGAGAGGCGCGTCAAAACCCACAACCCGATAGAGGTGGCTATTAAATTGTAGAGAAGGATTAAAACGCCACCACACCCTCTTTTAATGATACTTCAGCTTTGCCAATGTGCTTACTCATGTGTCTGTAAGGTGCATTGGATATTAAAAGACCCTCTTTTCCCCTCTGTGTTAGTGGGTCGTACCGTCTTCGGCAACTTCCTGAAGTCAGAGTATAGCAAGGAGAATCTGGACTTCTGGGTCGCCTGCGAAGTATACAAGAAGTCTGCTCCTTCTAAGATGGCCAACAGATCCAAGCAGATCTACCAGCAACATGTTGAGGCCGATGCCACCAATGAGGTAATCATTTTTTATCAAAGAATGTAAGATATAAAATGTCAATTAGAGAGCTTCATCAGTATGTTATGACGAAAAATGTAAAAGTACCTTAGCTTATTTTGCCAGGAAGTATTCTAGACAGAGAAGCGGAAAACAACAATGTACATACATTAATATTGTTTCAAACACACCGCACAGGCATTAGATACATCCTATGAATGCAGCTGCACATCTCCTTCAGGAAAGTGAATACTTGAAGCTGATGTGACTGCAGAGCTATGAATATATTCAGTCACAATGCTGCTATACCAAAAAGCCTCCAAGCACTTAGAATGAATGAGGGAATTTAAGAACACTTCAGTTCAGTCATATGGGTTGACTGAAAACATTTGAAAAGTTGGTCAAAATAAACTGAGAATATAAATTTGCAAATGCTTTGTTCTTTCCTCCAAGCTTTTCTTTTGCCATAGGACAATATGTTTGAGATATTTTGTTTTAACTATAGCAATATAATATGTCATAATACAAGTTTATGCTCTTGAAATCCTGATAAATCTCAACTCTCTCTTTCCATTTATTAAAGGTGAACTTAGACGCAGCCACCAGAGAGGAAACAAAGAAAAACGTAGAGAACCCCTGCCCGTGTTGTTTCGACGAGGCCCAGCAGATGATCTACACCTTGATGGAGAAAGACTCCGACAGGCGCTTCCTCAACTCCAAACTGATCCAGGATCTGACACGGACCAGTGCTGCTCAGGAAAAGAAAGAAAGGAAAATCTCTGACAGTGCCAAGAACGGGCAGGCCTTAACGGGCGGCGCCTAAACAGCAGAGTGAACACTGAAGACTAGAAGAAGAATGTGCCAAAGACTGAAAAAGTACTGGAAAGTTAACACTGGTAAAGAACGGTTGGTTTTTGTCTTAAATATGTATTGAGTAGAAAAAAGTGGTTTTGAATGTGACAACAATTGCCAGTGGAGCCTTTTGTGAGAGGGGTTTGTTTTCTTTGACAAATAACACATTTTTACTTCTTTAACTGACCCAATTTAACTGTAAAGATGAGAGCATGGAGACCACGATCATACTCTGAGCGATATTCTGTGAAAGCTCTATAAAAGTGAGGATGACTAAACTATCAGTGTTTTTATTTATTTTATTTGTATTATGATGTTGGTCAGTAATCCAGTATGTAATAGTGGGCATGTTTATGTTTTATTGAACTAAATTCAATCAACCTTAATGTATTCATCTGCAATGCAAAAGTGTTGATATGGTTATAATATTAACTTACAGTAGGCTATATGCACCGAACACAATTTAAAGGTGACATATAATGCACATTTACAGATTCAAACTTGCATTCAGGGTTTCTACCTGAACATGTTTACATGCTTTAAAGTTCAAAAAACACATTCATTTTTTTTACATTTGCTGCCTGAAAAAACCTGTATTCCCACTCTGTTTGAAACACTTTGTTTTAGCGCCTATCTTTATTAAATCCCTCTGTCAGAAAAACAGTTTATTTGAAACAATTTCTCCCCCAGACAGCCTACACAAATCTGACAGGGTCTTCTATTCTGTTTTGTGGGTCAGATACCCAAATGAATGTGCACAAACAAAGTGTTAGCAATTAGCTTTACATTATGTTCTTCTTCATTTCCTACGTTAACATTCAACATGCAAGCACAACTGCAGACGTATCATATTGATGTCTATGTTCTCATCACCTCAAGTAAGTTATTGATCTTAAACTGATATATCTCAAAGCGTGACCATAGTAACAACCGCCTGAGCTGTGACGCAAATATTGGCTTTGTCTACTTCTAGTTGGAAGTTTAAGCATGATTTAATATTGTAGTATTGATTTTAAACACTGACGAAAAGGTCAATTGTGACTCATTTGATTGATTTTCACCAGTTCCCCTGTCAAATGGCTATGTTCAGATGTTAATTTAGTGGGAATGCTGGTACAGCATTCCAACTATATGTTATGCTACGGACAAAATTCTTATTATTATTCCGTCCAATTATTTTGTCCGTCTTCTCCTCCCACATTCAACATCGCAGAAACTCCGTTCAAACATCAAAACGTTCAGCTCGGTCGGGAATCGGGCGCTATTACTTTTATCATTCATAACTTTCATAATTCCAGAGATACATCCCATAATACGTCACATTTTTAACCATTGAAGTCAATGGAGAAATTCTTCAGACTTCAACAAATCTTCATGCGACTTCAACTGCTAACTGTTCATTCATACTTTCACTCAGAAACCTCATTCCAACTTTAAAATGTTACACATCTTTCTGACATTATTCGTTTAACACAACTTTTAAATCTGATTCTTACTTTTAGAGATATTAAACATTGTTCAGACCTTGTTAAAGAGGTTTTCTTCAGATTTTAACATTAACTAGAATGCGTGATGTCACAGCTAGAGGGTAAGAAATCTTGAAATGTGCCTTCATATTTTTTTTAAAAACTGCCATAATTCCCAAACCCTACTTTCTTGAGACATAATTTGTCATGAGAAACGTAGGAAAACATCTCGTAGCTTGAAAAATGACAAATAATTAAGCAAAATAATTAAACAAAATGCCTCTTGAGGGCATGAAGTGACAAAAACGTTCAACATGTCTCCATTAAAGCCCATTGTAATTTCAGGCAGATATTTCCTCACAGCAGCAGCCGCACACCTTTCTTAAACTGCCAAAAAGGCCACATTATTAACCCGAAAGTACACAAAAATTACACTTCAGATACTGAACTTCCTTCACATGCTTCACGTTTTGAAATTTCACAGATATCTGTTATCGTTCTTCCACAAAACGTTCACATGTAAGAGGTTCATCTCTCATTCAGAACAATGAAACCTTTGAAGTCTAGGCACCTCGTTAGCTCAACGATAAACACTTGTGCAATGGAACACGATGATGTCATCACTCCAACTGACAGCAGTCAGTTCTAACATTTCATTTAATTCTCTCTCTCTCTCTCTCTCTCTCTCTCTCTCTCTCTCTCTCTCTCTCTCTCTCTCTCTCTCTCTCTCTCTCTCTCTCTCTCTCTCTCTCTCTCTCTCTCTCTCTCTCTCTCTCTCTCTCTCTCTCTTCAAAAAGTGCTCAAAATTCACATGTGTGCTAACAGTCCAGCCGTGAAGACATCTACGAGACAGTTTTGAGATTTCTTCAAATGCCGTTGCCATGGCAACACAATGCTCGCCATGAAGCACGATGTCGCTGTAAGTCCAATGGACACGGTCCGATCGTCCCCCAATCTTCACTTGTATATCACCGGTCCATGCCTCAACAGCTCTACGCCAAATCTGAGATCTCACCATATGCCGTTTCCATGGAAACGCATCCCTCGCCATAAAAGACGATGTCGCTATAACTCCTATGAACATTTTCAAAAAGTGCTAAAACTTCACATGTGTGCTAACAGTCCAGCCGTGAAGACATCTACGGGACAGTTTTGAGATTTCTTCAAATGCCGTTGCCATGGCGACAGACCACTCCCCATGAAACACGATGTCGCTGTAAGTCCAATCGACACGGTCCAATCGTCCCCCAATCTTCACTTGTATATCACCGGTCCATGCCTCAACAGCTCTACGCCAAATCTGAGATCTCACCATATGCCGTTTCCATGGAAACGCATCCCTCGCCATAAAAGACGATGTTGCTATAACTCCTATGAAAATGTTCAAAAAGTGCTAAAACTTCACATGTGTGCTAACAGTCCAGCCGTGAAGACATCTACGGGACAGTTTTGAGATTTCTTCAAATGCCGTTGGCATGGCGACAGATCATTCACCATCAAGTTAGTTCAAAGGTTTGCAGTTCAAATATTCTGCTGCTTTTCCAAGCCTTTTTACTTTCTTTTCTTCTCTCATCACACATTCAAGCCCCCAGTGTTCATGTATCATTTCAATCTAAATTCTTCACTTTCTTCTCACACATTACTTTTCAGCATAAAGCATTCCCACTAGCAATTTCTTCAGGAATTGCATTCTCTAGTTACTGTAATGTGTGCAGCATACTGAATAGTGTGTTCACTTAAATTAAAGGTATTTTGGTGGCCTTGCATACGAAAATGTGTTCTCAAAATGTATACTGTGATAATAGAAAAGTTGAAACTGTCTGTATATATTTAATAAATGATGTTGTTGCCCTATTTATACATCACATCTGTGACTGTTCACAAATAAAATGTTGTGTTGGATGATCAGAACTTTGTGTGTGAATAGTCTGATTTAAGTTGGATTCGAGAGTTTGATTAAGAGTCTAAAGCCATGCTACTGTAGCAGCTCTATGAGGTTGCATTTGATATGGCAACACACTCTCACTCCCTAAGCGTCCAGGAGCGACGCTTGGTCAGGGTCCCGTGGCGTCCAGTTGTGACGCGCCGAGGCTCCTTCAGCTTCATAAACGGACGCAAAGAGCTTTCAACTGATTGCAATGTATTCCCATCGGCGTCGGTATTTGACGCTTAGGGAAGCACGGCATTCGTTTGTGTCGGAGGCTGTTAAAGGCAATGTGAGCGTCCATTCCCATTGGATAACGGAGAATTGTACACCCGGAAGTAAGTATTCCCCTTACTGTCGATTGATTTGACAGTGATATCTCCACTACTCATCAACTCAAAAACACCAGATTATCCTTGTTAATTAAACAACATTGATAGGTTTTAGTGTGTGTACAATGCTTTTGTCACGTTTTCCCCTTCAATTCTGAGTAACAAGTCGTTTTCTATGAGTTTTGGATGGCCGAAGACATTACATTACCCACAATCCTCTGTAGCAACCATAGACTGTATAAAAAAATTAAATAATACATTATTCCGAGTGTGCTTGCTTTTCTCTTCAAAAACACCAGATTATCCTTGTTAATTAAACGACATTGATAGGTTTTAGTGTGTGTACAATGCTTTTGTCACGTTTTCCCCTTCAATTCTGAGAAACAAGTCGTTTTCTATGAGTTTTGGATGGCCGAAGACATTACATTACCCACAATCCTCTGTAGCAACCATAGACTGTATAAAACAATTAAATAATACATTATTCCGAGTGTGCTTGCTTTTCTTTTTGAAAGTCATCACATAACGGCATTGTAATACACGTTTCGGCTGCATTAAATATGACATATCTGCCGTAGTTAACTCTGCCCTGATGACAAGACTTCTAGACAAACAGGAACTGCCGCCAAAACTGAAAATTAAACAACATCTTACATTTCTTTTCACACAATACGTCTCCTTGCAGTATCAACACTAATTCGGCTGACTTTTATATTTGATCCAATTGGTAGATAGGCTGTATTTACGCCATAACGGTGCACAGCTGATAGAAAGGGACACCTACTGGTTAAAGCACGTTATTGCATTTTATAATTGTATTATTAGATATTAATAGGAGGATGTGCAAAACAGACAAACTAATATGGCTTTATTTAAACATTAAAGAATACTTTAGGTTAAGGTCTTCTTTTGAATAAGAAAAAAGCTTTGGGGATATAGAAGATGAATATGGAGGGGTGAAACCTTCTTTGATGGTCACACATGCAGAGCACACAGCACACACAGTGAAATTTGTATCTACAGATAAATATTAAGCCTGACAAAGTACTTAACGTCTAATATATTGCTTTCCTGCAATGTTAACTATGTTTAAGCACTTATTTTAACTGATATTATACATATGTATTATACTCTTATAAGATGTATGTAGATAGTATAAGAAATGTGCAGAATATGACAATGTAATGGTGGAGGTACACACATATTGATAGATGTCTTGTAATGCACTGTTGAGGAACCTGCGACCCAAGTTTTAAAGTGTTAAATCTTGAAATCTTGAATGGGATGTGCAAAATAGTCATTATATACAGTCTTTAATTAACTATTAGTAGAGAATAACGACGAGTAAAGAATATACTTTATAGGGATCCTATTAATATCTAATAATAAAATTATAAAATGCAATAACGTGCTTTAAAGGGCCCATGTCATGGCCATTTCCACTGATCATAATTACATTGTTGAGGTATACTAAAATAGATTTATACTGTGCAATTTTCCAAACTCACATTGGTTTCGCATACAGCATCTCTGTCAAGCATGTGTATTCAGCAGTATTCACTTTCTCCACTAAACGACTCGTTGGAGCTCTTGCCCCCCCCTCCCTGTGAGCCTAGTGTGCTCCGATTGGTCAGCTCGGCCACTCTGTTCTGATTAGTCAACCACCAGAGAGGCTGCGCCCATGTCTAAACGGCTGCTCTCAGCCGAACATCAGTCTTATCATGGCGTATATTTTATATACATATATATATTTTTAACTGTTGTTATAGAAGAGTGTGACGGCCCCAGGGCCTTTGTCTTACGATGGGGTGGAGCTGAAGAGGCTAATCAGCGCGATCACGGACACCTGGCCGGAGCCGAGTTGCTAGCCAGCTGCCGGGAGTCACACGGCAGCCTCTCTCCCTCCAAGCAGCACAGCGATCCTCTTCCCTGACCACGTATCTCTGCATTTACCACAATAAATGTGCCGTGGTTTTGTAAACTCGTGTATGTCTCCTTGTCTTTCCGTTGTGGCCTTCCGAGTGTGGATCTATCTAATCAATCTAATGAACAGCTTGTCAGCTAATATGCTAACCTAGCTTTGTTTACCTTGGTAGCTAACGTTAGCTCGGAGGAACGGCAACTATAATGTAGAGTAATAAAACTACTATGAACAAAAGCTAGTGGTTCA